TGGTCAAACCCCTTAGAAAGCACACTTAAGACTTGAGCATTTCGGGGATTCCCTCATCCTTCACCAAAATACACACCCACCCATGGGGTGAGCCTTTCCTACGTGCGGGCCTGGGGCTGGATGCCAGGACCTGAGAATCTGCAGACCTGGGGCATCTGCAAGTTTCTCACTGCCTGGTGGAGTGACAGATAGACAGATGGACAGATATAGACTCCCCTATATGGTGGTTCTGCCAGAAGCCAGAAAATACACCTTGAGACACCACCCCCCCCCCCCGCCCCCGATCAGCAAACAGGCCTGGCCCCATCAAAGCCTCCAGGACAGAAGCAGCCTGAGGGCCTCCTCCAGCTACGGGCTCAGCCCCCCATCCCCAACTATACAGACTTGCTGTGCACCTGCAGGCTACCCAAGACCCAAGGCCCTTGAGCCAGGACCACTCACCTCTGGCTTCCCACATGGTCTCCACTCCAGGCCTGCACTGGGGTGACCCACATATCCACGCTCTGGAGGCTCCCCCCGTCCATCCACAGTATGTGAGTCTCAGGCAGGAGAGGGCGTATCATCTCCATGCGACATATGAGCACACAACCCAGACTTGGGGGCAAGGGACATGGTACACAGGACCCTGCCTCTTATTTCTTGGCTATAGCCACGGGGGCATCCCTCAAGGGACTGCCCCTCACCGCCTGTGACCCAACCCGGCAAAGATGCTCCCTTACCAGGGGCCCCTGAGGCAGGATCTCTAAGTCTTGAAGTGGGGGGGAACCATCAGAGAAACGGCCTCCCAGCGCTCAGGCCTCGCTCTGTAAACCTTGACGGCAAATCCTAACTTGGGTGCCCGATAGTGTCCCCAGCAGCTTCCCTTCCCCTCTACCCCCCCTTCCAATCACAGTGGCACAGAAGTCTCCGAAAACCAGGGCTTCCCAGAGCCCCCCACACCACCCAAGCTTAACAGGAGATCCGGACCCTGGGACCACAGACTAGAGAAAGCCGGACCAAGATAACTGGAGTCAGTGCTGCCTGATTCAAACTCTCCCAGCCCATCCCCTGGAGCTTTGGGTTGAGCCCTGATCCCAACTCCAGGCCTCAACCACTCCTTGAGCCTCTCTCCCCAGTCCCCGACAGTCCCCCAGCCCAGAGGTCACAGCTGCAAGGTTGCCAGATAAAATATGAGACCCCCGGTTCAGCTCCAGCTGAACAAAGTTACATCCTCAATCCCGCATTATCTGTGGCTTATCCGAAATCCAAATTTAACTGGGCATCCCTATTTTTATTAGCCAGATCTGGCAACCAGAAGCAGGTGGTCCTGAAGGAGGGAGACAGGTGGGCACACAAATAGCTCTGGGTTGGCCAGGCCCAGCTCCGGACCAAGAGGAAGAGTGTCGGGAACAAGGGCTCTGCCTGAGACACACCAACCAGCCATCCCCAGCCTGGGTGGGGACAAAGTACAGCCCCACCCAGCCCATTCAGCAAACTTAAGTCCCCACAAAGTGAACAAGGGCTCAGCCCCTTGCGCCAGCCCCCCATCCCCCCGGGGCTCTGAGTCCCTTACTGTCAGCAGCCACAACCCACAGCACTGAGTCTGAAATGACAGAGTAGCTACCCCAGCAAGCACGAGGGTCTCAGGGTCCCAGCCAGACACGCCTGCAAATGAGGGGCCTAGGAACCAAGTGGGGGAGCTGGCTCCCCTTGGGCCCCGCCTGGACACCCCAACATCTACACACGTCTGCACTGTCTCCCTGCCACCGAAGGTGGGAGGTGGGGGGGGGGTGAGGGGGCACACATCTCATTGCTGCTTCTAACCAATTCCATTTCTTCTCCAGTTCTCCCACATAAAACAATCCTTCCAATACTCCACCTCTGCTTATGAATTAATTCCTGCTGGGAATTCCCTTGCGGCTGCCCTAAGGGTCCACGTCTCCCGGGCCCCACAGCCTCCCGGAAGGTTCCAAACCCCCGGCCGGCCCCGAGTCCTGCTCTGCTCCCCGGTGTTTGTGAATTCACCCTGAAAGTTGTGTTCCCGGGTGCCCCTTGAGGCCTCCGCAGGCCCCTGGAGCTGGGCACAAATTCCCGCTTGTCCCAGGGAACCTGGCTGTGAGGCATTGAAGAGTTGTCCACAGACAGCCAAGAACCAGAGGTCTGAGAAGCAGGACAGAGGATATTCAGGAGTCTCACCATGGCGGGGGGGGGGGGGGGCACCCCCCCCACAGATAGGGACTCAGGGATAACAGGCTTAGCAATATGGGCCAAGGCTCTGAAGCCAGACTTCATCCATTCATTCCCTCAAGCAGCCATTCAACAAGTATTTGGGTGCCAGCCCTGGGCACCAGGGAATCAAAAGCAAGCCCCGGTCCCTGCCCTGCCCTTAGGGCACCTGGGGAGACAGATGTGGAGCCTCTGAGATCAACATTGGGACAGAGGAAGGACAGGATGCCACGGGGGACACAGAGGTAGCACCAAGGCCAGCCCTGGGATTCCAGCCCGAGGACCGTCAGCGTAGTCTTCATGGAGAGGAAACAGGCAAATCCTACCACCCGTATCCCCTCTAGGCAGGGCCACCAAAGGAAGTCTCCCACCCCCTCAGAGGAAGGATGCGAAGAACCTTCCAGGGAAGACGAACAGCTCATGCAAAGGGCATTCAGGAAAACTGAGGGACTCAATGAACCGGTCGAGGTGGCAGTGGATGGACGGATGAGTGACGGAACCCAGAACAGGGATGGACCAGGCGATGCGGTCTGTGGCTCCAAGGTCACACTTGTAGGAGACGAACGCCCCATGGCGTCACCCTGAGATCCTCACCTGGGTTTCTGACCACCCCCCGGACTGCTGCCAGACTGTGCAGGCGCTGGCTGCTGGGGACAGGCTGTGAGAACATCTGCCTCTGAGACCCCCATCATTATGTCTGCCTTTCCGACTATCTCCAAGCATCGAACACTAACATCCGCCACTGTGCCGGAAGGCGAGCCTGGCTCTGGGAGAGACTGCCTTCCAAGAACAGATAAAAAGTATTTGCGATGAGCATACTGCACATAAACGACCCTTCCTCTAGCACCTGGTGAACAGTCCTCTTAAGTAGGTTAAACGTGTCCCGACAACGCTGTCGTTAAGACCCAGGGTTGCCACCCTCAGCCCCAGGTCTCCCACATTTTATTTATTTCGTTTTTAAACTTTATTTCTTTTGAGAGTGAGAAAGTGCATTTGCAGGGGAAGGGCAGAGAGAGAGGAACAGGGAGAGAATCCCAAGCAAGCTCCGTGTTGTCAGCTCAGAGCCCCATGTGGGGCTCGAACTCACGAACCACGAGATCATGCCCTGAGCCAAAATCAAGAGTCTGACGCTGAATGGACTGAGCCACCCAGGTGCCCCTCCCACATTTTAAATGTACCAGCAGAGTGGGGTCCTCTGGGACCCTCTGAGTCACAGCCTCAACTTTCTAGGTCACTCTCCTAGTGGGCTGCAGAATGGGGTGTGGTCTTAAGCCTCTCAAATCCCCAAAGCAGGTGGGGGGTTCTGACATCCCCTCACCTTGGAGCCAAGTCTGTCCCCTGGTCCAGTGGTCCCTGTTCGGAAGAGGTCAGAGTCTACCTCAAACCCTCCTGGGCTCCCACAGTGGGTGGCTTGGGATGGGCACCTGACCACCCATCTTGGCCACCCCTGCGCCCAGACCATCCCCACCAGCAGCCACCAGCCTCCCAGCCACTGCTGCCTCCTGCTCCGAATAAATAATCAATGCCAGTGCCCTTTCCCTTTGGGAATGACACTGCTGAAATAAATGGCTGCTTGGAAGGCACCTCCCAAGCCCCGAGGACCCGGGCAGTGCCGAGGAGCAAGCAGTCCCAGCCCGGAGGCCACCAGACGAGGTCAGAGCAGCTTCTGGCCGCCTCTTCCTTCCACTGTGAGCAGCAAGGGAAGGCCCCTGCCAGTGCCCACTCCTCGGTCCACGCCTAGCCCCTCACCCAGCTGCTAGGCCCAGGGCAGTCCCACGCCCCCCACCACCAGGACCCCACTCCATCCAAGGACAGCACTGCCCCCACTTGCCTGGCAAGGAGACCCCTGCGTGCGGAGTTCCCTCACTTCCGCGGTGATGGGGGACACAGGGGCCTCCCCCCACCCAGGTCTGGTCCACGGAGGTTAGGTCACATGGCCAGATGCCCAGGAGGGCAGAACTCTCAGCTGCAACGTCCCCCTCTGCCCTGGGCCCAGGCCAGGGCATCATCCCTGTCCCTGGCCACACGCCGGGGGCCGGAGCCCAGGAGAGGCACCGAGCCCGTCATTTCGAAGGACTCAGGATGGGGGGGTGGGCATCAAGCACCCCGTGACGCTCCACAGGCCTCCCTGCCGGTGTGCGGGAACTCACAGACCACCTACATGCGGGGCACCCCCAACTTGCTCCTCTGAATGCTTTGTGGCCCCCACCGCCATCCTCTGAGACTCTTCCCCGCCCTCCTCCACAGGTTCAGCTGCCGCCACTCAGGCCAGCCCCCTCCCCGGGGTACCCCAACAGGAACCACTGTGCGGGGCAGTCCTCGCTGTGTCGGACTCAGCCTGCGAGTGGGGGGCACCGGCCGGGAGATGGCCCAGCCCGAGGAAGGCAGAGGTGGGGGGCGGAGGGGGGGGGCGGGGACCGGCGGCCTTCCCAGCCCCCTCTGCTCCCACACTGGCGCCCGCCGCCGCGGGCAGCACGACTGACCTCATTCGCCAACTGCAGCAGCCTGCGGGCGCCCGCCGCCCGCCCGGGACGCCCCCCACCTCCGGAAGGACCGGGGGGGTGACAGTTCCCGGCTCCCACCCCCCTCCCGGCAGGTGAGGGAGGCCGGCCCTCCCCGCCGCCACCAACCCCCCCCCCCGCCCGAATTATAATCCCAGTCACGTGCCTCCCAAGGCACCCGAAAGCCGGACCCAGATTCTGGAACACCTTGAGGGGGAGGGGCGGGGGCCACGGGGGTGGGAGGAGAAGGGGAGAAGGGCCTCGGCGCCCGCCCCCCGCAAAAGTTTCTCCTACCTTGGAGGATCCCCAAGCGCTCCTGCCAGCGGCGCCCCGGCCCCGGCCCGCGGCCAGGACTCAGCCTCCTGCCGCTGCCTCCTTAATTA